TTCAAAGGCCAAAAATAAAAGTGTAAGAGGTGGACCGGCTCCTCTGACGGCAGAAAAAACACACAGACAGCAGATAAATAGAAGTTTATTTATTTCTAACTTCATTTCCTACATGTTTTACAGATAAGTCCAGTTAGAAGTTTCCAGTTTCCAAACCTTTAGCTCATGCTATGCACATTTCTCAAGAGTCCAGTTTCAAAATGGAAGATAAATCACTTTTTTTTCTAAGTTATTGGGACTCTGTCTGTTTTATGAATTTAAGAAAATCAGAGCTTCCTCTTCAGGAGAAGTGAATACGGGCACAGATTCAGGTCCATGTTGTTTTTGGTTCCTCTTCTTTTGACCTCACAGGACTTCCAGCCAGTCTGCTCATGGAATCCTAAATATTTGTTAAAAGCTTCCAAAAAAGGAAAAAGCTGGAGAGCTGGAGGGACCCTCTTCAGAATCAGGACATACTGGACCTCTTTAAGATATACATGAGCAGGTTTTACCGGCCAAAGGCTTTTTGCAAAGCCACCAATCTGATGTGTTCGGGACCTCTGGATCTACTTTAAAAATCCCCAAAACACCCAGAATGTGTAAAAACAAAGTGCCTATCGCTGATTTCAGAAGATAAACAAGAACAAACAGCACATAAATGCTTAGAGGAGGAGTTTGATTACAGCTGAAAGGCCCAAACTGATTAAAAAAAAAGTTAAAACCTGGTTTTAGAGCTAAAATATTCTGTGCTTTTCTTAGAGGAAAGACTCAGAAGTTCAGGGAGTGGCCGTAAATAGTTTTAGATGTTTGAATATTTTCTTTTTTCTTTTTTCTTTCTTGGCTCTGTGAAGCCATCTGTCACAGGCCCTCATAAAAGACGTGCTCGTGTTCATTTTTTTTATTTATACTATATCATTTTAACATTCATTTATGGATATCCAACTCCTCCCACATCCAGGTCGGCCATTTTGATTAGGTCATGTGACTAGGAAACAAAACTTTACTGTCTGTACGAAATCGGAAGATAAACAATGTCCTAACCCTAACGTTTGAATATTTTAATTATTTTTCTTTTTTTCTCGGCTCTGTGAAGCCATCTGCTCACAGGCCCTCATAAAATATATGTTTGTGTTAATTTTTTTTATTTATACTCTATTATTTTAACATTCTTGTCCTTTTTCTTCATATTTCTAAGAAGTGGTTAGTCTGGAATCATAGCACCTCTAAGAGGTGGTCGTCCTAAGGCACTGCTCTTCAGGTTAAAGCACAAAGGTGTGTTTTAGTCCAGGATAAAACAGTTTTAGTCCAGAATAAAACAGTTTTAGTCCAGGACAAAACAGTTTTAGTCCAGAATAAAACTGTTTTATTCCACGATAAAACAGTTTTAGTCCAGAATCAAACAGTTTTAGTCCAAAATCAAACAGTTTTAGTCCAGAATAAAATGGTTTTAGTCCAGAATAAAACTGTTTTAATCCAGAATAAAACAGTTTTAGTCCAGAATTAAACAGTTTTAGTCCAGAATAAAACAGTGTTAGTCCAGGATAAACCAGTTTTAGCCCAGAATAAAACAGTTTGAATCCAGAATAAAACAGTTTTAGTCCAGGTTAAACCGTTTTATTCCAGGATAAAACAGTTTTTGTCCAGAATAAAGCAGTTTTAGTCCAGGATCAAACAGTTTTAGTCCAGAATAAAACAGTTTTAGTCCAGAATAAAACCTTTTTAATCCAGAATAAAAGGGTTTTAGTCCAGAATAAAACCTTTTTAATCCAGAATAAAACTGTTTTAGTCCAGGATAAAAGAGTTTTAGTCCAGAATAAAACAGTTTTAGTCCAGAATAAAACAGTTTTAGTCCAGTATCCGGGCTCCGACGCCACAGAGAGGGCGGGTTGTCTCTCTGGGATCGGCCCCGCCTCTTCACGGCTCCGTGAGAGCGAGGCGAGGCGTCATAGGCGAGAACCGAAGAGCCGCTCTGGTCTCCGTGGCGTCGGGGGGGAAAGGGGGCGGGGCTTAGACGCCTACGGCCGCCTGCAGGATGGCGTCCACGCTGGGCCGGTCCAGGGGGATTTTAGACGGGTGGCGGAGGAGAACCTTCCCCCCGTCGTCCAGCAGGAAGTCGCCCCCCATCTGGGAAAAAACGCCACTCATGTTAGTCTGAGTTAAGTTTATGTTTATGTTTCTGCATTTGGCAGACGCTTTTATCTAAAGCGACTCACAGAGTAGACACAATTTTAGATATTACATTTATCATCACTATGACAATAAGCTATACAGAGGAGAAACACTGATCAGTCAGTGGTGAGATAGTTATTTTTTGGGCTGATTGAAGACCAGACTCACAAGAGGAAGGATTCATCACAGCCAATTACAGGCCTCCACTGACAACGTCCCCCTTTAAATCCAAACCTGCCTGCTCTCATAAACATACTATGCTTATTTTTATCATTTAAGATATACATGAGCAGGTTTTACCAGCCAAAAGTTTGTTACAAAGCCACCAATCTGATGCGTTTGGGACTTCTGGATCCTCTTTTAAGTCCCCAAAACACCCTGAATGTGTAAAACTGAATTCAGAAGATAAACAAGAACCAGTAACATACAGCAGATAGAAGTTATGGAGTCTCTGTTTCCAGTTTCCAAACCTTGAGTCCGTCGAGCCGAATGCTGTGCACATTTCTCAAGAGTCCAGTTTCAAAATGGAAGTTAAATCACTTTTTTTTCTCAGTTATTGGGACTCTGTCTGTTTTATGGATTACAGTTAAGAAAACTGAATAAGGGGCACAGATTCAGGTCCATTTTGTTTTTGGTTCCTCTACTACAACGTCCTTTAAATCCAAACCTGCCTGCTCTCAAAAACATACTATGCTTATTTTTATTATTCAAGTTATACATGAGCAGGTTTCATCAGCCAAAAGTTTGTTACAAAGCCACCAATCTGATGTTTTAAGTCTTTTAAGTCCCCCCAAAACACCCCGAATGTGTAAAAATGCGCCTCTCGTTGAATTCAGAAGATAAACAAGAACCAAGAATACATAGCAGCTAAAGGCGAAATATTCAAAGCAATAAATAAGAATAAGAAATAATAAGATATATAAATAAATAAGAAATAGCTTATTATTATTATTATTTTCATGCAAAAAGACTGAGTTTGTTTCCATCTTTGTGAACTTTTAACCATCCAGGATTAAATAGTGGATTAAAAAAATTCCCTCGTGATTGGTTAGAAAATCCAGAATTAGGAAAATGTGGTGTTTCAGAAGCAGCGGTTTGTTCTCTGGGAGTTAAATAAGGAAACACCGTCATCATGACCCAGTTAAAGGGAACAAATAAGGAAACACCATCATGACCCAGTTAAAGGGAACAAATAAGGAAACACCATCATAAT